GTCTCGTTCCAAAGCGGGCTGGAAAAAGGAGGATCTTCGCCCACGCCACGCACTCGGGGGGTCACGCTCCCCAGCGCATGCAATGGTACCTCCAGAGGGGTTCTGGCCGCCAAGGGGAGAAAGGGTTCTGTGTGAACGGTTGGATGACAAAACAGCCCTCCTGTCGGGCGGGACGCTTGCCTTGCTTCCCGCTCTCCCCAGAAACAGAAGGCGACCAAAAGGGTACAGAGTCAACCTCGGAAAGGTTTCCCCGAGTGAGTCCACCGGTGTGAGGTGGGAGGTCTGCTGAGCCCTCCTCCTTGTGAGGAGGCAGGAGCATCGGAAGCCTCCCCAACCCTGGAGGGGTGGGGAAGTGTTCAGCCCCCCGTAAAGGCAGATGCCCAGGGCAGAGAACGGTGCCAACCATGGTTAAAAATGTACACACACCCCCAATGACACGTCTTGTACAGTCCCTTCGAAAACTCCAACTTGGAGAGGGGATCAACCCCAGGTGGCATTGGGTAAGGGGGGGGTCGGGTGCTCCCCGAAAGAAAGCATTCGCCCCCTTCAATGGGGCAAAAGGGAATGCCACCCCCGCCTGCCCGGTCCCCGCCTGGCACCACCACCACGAAACAGGGCTTCGATCCATGGACAAAGGCAGAGAGAGTGGTCGCCGTTGTCATGGTTACCGAGGCACCGGATGTCCCACCGCGCCTCGTTAATCTGGGAGTAAATGAGACGAAGGTTCAGGGATGATTCAGGGTGGGGGAACAGAGAGCAACCTTTCCTCATGGATTGCGAATCTACTCGATGCCTTGACAAAACACCCCCCCTTTCCCAAGGGCGGCATTGAGCGAAACCCCCCCCAAAGCATGGGTTGATGAGACGGTTTAAGCCAGGACGCTGCACCCCGACCGTACCCCAAAAGATGGTGGGGGAGAAACAGACGGGGGAAACCCGGACCCTTCGCGCCCGCCTGCCACGCCTCCAGGGGGGTGTCTCCCTCCACGGCTTCACCTCTGCACTCCATCACTGGCACCCCAAACCATCCTTAAGAAGCCAAGGATGGAAAACCAAATGGGGGGGGGAAGGAAGCCCAGCCCGATGCTTTGTTCCAGCGGAGGAACAAAGAAATTACCGAGTTCGAACGGGGGGGGGCAGGGAAGGGAGCCAACAGGGTTGAGCCGTGCCGTGCCGAGGAACCGGTGCTCAGCCCAAGACAAAGCTCAGGCGGTCTCCCGGCTATTTCAGAAGCAAAGGGCCCCCCCTCTCCGCAAAAGGGAGAGCCAAC